ACTTTAAGGTTATGAAATATTCATACAATGTTACAACTTTCCGAATGCCGAATGGATATGTGTGCTTGCATATTATATATATATATATATATATATATATATATATATATATATCTGTATACATACATATGTTAGTCCAGGCTAACTTGACACTAGACCAGATTTGTCCTTTGTCAGACATATAAAGAAACTGATGCTTAGAAAATAATTATACGTTGGACTAAAATTACACTGGTTATCGTTTCCAATTAGATCATTTCTTGAACTTACAGATAATAAGATTCACTGCATTCATGTGACATTTCTTTGATTACATTAAAAAAATTTACCGAATTGACAATTGTAAAACTGTTTGTAATTTCTAGCTGGAATAATTTTCACTCAAAAAAAATGTGAAGAAATGAAAGTCCTGGTTAACATTAGTTGAAGGCATTTCAATCTATGCCTCAATAAATATTACTCGAAATACTTACTTGATAATTTATCTGTTATGTTCGTCACTAAATATGCTCGAAGCTATTACGAGGTCACCTTAGTCGATAAACATCAGCGAGACAATTACCAGCGTCTAGATAGGCTACCTTGAATCACAAGCTGTAAACAGAAGGCTTGGTAAGCGTAGAAAGTATATTCTACAAACATCCAGCAATCACAATACAATCAAGCACACAAACCTCGTTTATTTATATATCATAGAAACGACCTTGGGACAGTTACGAAAATAGCACACTAAAATAGACAGCAGTCAATCACAGCCAAGGATGTTCCTTGTGGGGAATGCGATCACAAGGTCAACTGATCAGCCCATGCTCGCAAACGTGAAATCCAAAATAAGGCATTTATCAAGTGAGTTTTGAGGATCTAACATCCCCACCACTCAAAAGATATTTATTAGTTGAATGCATTTTAATCTATGTCCCACTAAATATTACTCGAAATACTTACTTGATAATTTAGCTAAGAAAAATAATTCCGTGAGTTTTCTTGAAACTATAGGAGCCAAAAGGGTATAGAAAAGAGAAGGCATATAACACTGAGAGGGATAAATTAGGTGAATTATTTACTAGTTGTAAATAAAACTCATTGGAGTAAAACTCAATGATTAAAAATTTAACATGTATCTTTCAGGCTTAATCCCAATAGCTTCAATCAGCCAATGATTAGAAGGTTTCTGAAGTCAACGTTGCAGTTTTGATTTATGCACAAATGTCTTCCAAATTTCGGGTTTACACTAGCTGGTCACATTGTAAGAAGCTGTTGTAGCGACCGACTTGGAATGGTATCATTACGTAGCCGATATAGTTCAGAGAAAATATTTCTGTCTATTACACTAGGAGACATAGGCATTAATCTCACGAAAAATGTCGGTTCTCTCTGGTTTACTTTGATGACGAAGGCTCAATCGTTAAGTTTCTTGTTGACTGAGTGGAAGCAGCCTAAAACAAATTTTAAGTTTCGAAACACGTGAGTGATCGTAAAACATTAAATTCACTATAATACATGAATAAAAATTTAAAACAGGTTCCACTATAGGTTATGATTTCAAAAGTAATCAGAACCTGAGCACTGTTATTGTTATTGAATAGAATGAAAAACCTTTACATCGTCATAGGTGTTTGGGAGTTCCAAAACTCTTGAAAACACTTTAGCTAATCAGGATTGATTAGAACGTTCTTTGAAATATCTGGAAGAACTACAGATCACTTTTAACATTTTCGAGTGGATAAAAACCTTTTCGCCTCTCGTGTGCAATGCTTCTGGAACTCTCCCTAGACGGTCAAGGTCACGTTACTAAGCATCAGTACTCATGATTTTGTACTTACCTTAACCTTGGTATAAAGCTTTTTTGCACTCCACTCCTTTCCGTTTTCATTTAAGTTGCTGAACAGATTTACTGTGGGATTGCTAGAAACAGCTTAGAAATTGGATCAAGAGTTCAATAAGCAAACTTATCAACATGTAGTTTAATATGAAAAAAATTATGAAACAAGTATTTCTTATAATGAGTGATAAATTATAATTATTGTTTCGTTTTATTGCGGATTTCGCTCAAAGATTCAATATAAATTAACTTGAGTTACATTATTGGTGTTGATTGGACGAGGAAAAGGAAATATGCTCTTAGTTCAATATACAATTTGACTCGTACTCGAGCAAATAACCTCAGTTCATTTTGATGGAATATATATATATGATAAAAGTGCTCTCTGTTTTAAGAATTCTGTGAAACATTTTAGAAGTTACTCTTATACTGTGCTGTATGCAATTGAGTTGATTAAAGAATGTTGAAATGCTTCAAGAAGTTGAACTTATCGTGAATAAATTCAGGCAGTCAGTGCTGTTTAGCGTTCTAGATAACCATGAAAACTTTATTGATTCCATGACTACGTAATTATAGAGTCTTATTAAACGATCATAAAACAATTTAGAAGCAGCAATGTTAATTAATAATAAGACTGTTCTAGACGAGCAAGCTCTTAACAAAGATTTCAAATTTTGAGCGAGAATTAATCAGATAATTGTGCTAAAGGTCGTTTCAGTGGCTTTCATACTTTATTCCTTTTTTGAAATAACTCTAATCTCATTAACGATTTCAAGATTTGTTTACCACTCTTATTGATTGCAACAAATTGTTAACTGGTGTCTGAAGTTTCAGTCAGGCCATAAAATATTTGCAAATAACTTACTATAAAATGTAAATATTCATTGTGTTAAAATGAAAACAAACTTAAACCGTCATTTTATGAACTAAACCATACTCGCAGATACAGTCCATATCAGGGATAAATATTTCGTTCACTGAACAATATCATATTCATTGTGTGGTTGTAGGAAAGATATTTTTTTCCATCTTAAGAATTCTAAGAACTAGATCTAAACAATTTGCAAGCAGTTTTTACTAAAATCAATGCTATCTTCCACTGAGCATTGGATTTCGCAAGAAATCCTAAAAGCAGCTGTCATTAATCTGGTTGATTTACTCAAAGTTGAAAGCATAATTTGGTCTTACCATTGAATTAGTTCGATGATCATTTTCCCAGAGGGACAGCGTGAATATTCGTGAGTTATTTTATATTTTCAAATTGCCTCACTGATGATCGATTTCCTAACTATCAACGAAACTCCATGATCATAATAATTTCGTCCTAAAATTTGTTTTCTAAATAATATAATTTAAGGTGGAAAAAAAATCAACGTACAGTCCGATTACATATTTTGTGCAAATTTAGAAGCTGAAATTCAATTACCAATCGTAGGTAGGACTTTTTTTCTTGTAATTAGAAGCAAGCTAGACGTGATTCTTTTGTTTACTAATTAGTCTCGCAACATATCGGATCATGTTTGAGTGGAATAAAGGATGCCGGATTCATCTATCTACAACTTGTGAGTTGAATTTAAATGAATGCATTTAGAAGAAAGAAGACGCAACAGTGAAGAAAATTTTATCATTTTCTGTAGCTGTACAATCGTATTGATAAATAATCTTTAACGTAGAACTTTATAGTAAAATAGATGAGTTTTACAAAATTATCATCGATAGTCAAACTTAGTGAAGTGAAAGATGACGACGTAAAAGATTACCCATAAATACGATTGTACAACTACAGAAAATGGTATCGTCAGAAATAAACTGTTCTTCCCTGTTATGTCTTGCCTGCTTTTAATGAATCAAAGGAGCTTCTTGGTATTCTCATTATTGTATACTTTTGTTCATGTTTTGACTTCAATCGAAATCCGTATTTATCACTTCAAACTACTAAGTCGCAGTGCCCACTAACACATTTAACCATTATAATTATTACTGATTTCGTGAGTTTGTACTTTCTTCCAAGTGCTATTCTGATTTGATTTTGATTGATCTAGATCATGATAATATGAACCATATGTCGATCGATGTGTATGTACTAAAACTTGTGAGCTCTCATGAAAATTTTCCACTAAAAGGTAACTTCTTAAAGAATATTAGTTGTTAGGTTGTTAGAAGTAGTTGATTGCACACCCTCATCATAGGTCCCCAGCTACTCGACACTCGTCAGCAAGATGTATCCATAATCTTGAGGAAGCTTGTGCTCCCTGGTGGTTTTTATGCTCTATCACTCAGCTTAAAAGCTCCAGCCACTTCAGATCTCAACATAGCTCGAGTCACTTAGACCAGTGATCATCTTGCAACATGATGGGAAAAGTCCGGTCAATACTAAAAAAACTAGATAAACAAAAAACTGATCACTGCTAAGTTATTGGAATAGTATTGTTTTCTTAGACATTTAGAATCTTGAGGCTCAATCAAATGAAAGACGTCTGTTGTTCGTTCTGGAGAACCTAAAAAAAGGGAATAAAACAGTTTTAAAATTTACCTTGTTATTCAATCATTTAACATTGGCATTCCATGTTGAAGCTGTATTTATAATTAGAAATCAGTCATTTTCTATGACAATGTCTTGGGCAAAATTACACCAACAAAGACACTCATAGAACTAGATTGCCTTAGACTCATTTCAGAATATTCATCGTCGAAACCAGTGTTGATAACAATTGTTTTAGCCCATATGTAAACTAACCAATCATCCAATATATATGGTTGTAAAAAAAAATGAAGACTTCATATGATGACAAGTTTTAAAAAATACTTTTTCTTAGTCAGGTATTCGTTTTACACTGCTCTATACGACATTGTGCTGTACAAATATATATGAACCTTGAAATTCACTAGAACTCACTGAATTGTTAGCAAAAATTAAGGCCTATCCTAATGTTATATACTGATACACGTCTGCTGTCTTTGTACGCACATGTTTAGTGGGTGTGTGTTGAATGTACAAAAAGATAAATTTTACGTATATGTACTACATGTACGTATGCACAACCAATGCAAAGTTTTAAAAATTTACAATTGATTGAGAGATTGACTTACAAGCCAGTCACAAACTTATATATATGTGTATAGGTAGTGTGTCTGTAAATAATAGGTTCAAGATAGTAACTTTATTGGTTGATGAAGTAAATTATGACCTTTTGACGATAATATCCTGTGTAACTCTAACAATATTATCTCATCTAATCTCAAAACTGCTTCTGTGAGGTTTCATATCCATTGAAATTCAAATTACAAATTACATTTCAGTTAATCAATACACACTTACTCATCCACAGCTATGAAGTCCGAAAACGATTACAAAACAAGCTGTTTTAAATGCATTTAAAATTTCTACTTCTTAGTCTTTGGTGCATTCACTTAAACTGATCAATGATTCCATGTATCCTTCAGGTATATCAATATTAATTAAAAAGAGTTCTTGTGTATACACAAGTAAATATAAAATTGGATATCATCGACAAGCCAAAAGTGACTTATTTCAAATGAGAGAGTATTATTAACTAGTAGGTGATGCACAGTTCGTAATCAAGATTTTATCAACCCATCTTTTGAATATTTATATTGGAATTTTTACTTTACTCATTCATCTAATATTTTGAATAGATCACTGTTCAAATGAATATTCCTCTAGGTCATTTTTTATTCAATGCATTTGTACATTTAATTATAAACCTACAATTGATATGGCTGAATCCACATGTAACTGAAGAAACTATATTAAATATATCGAAAGTATATTTTATTCATCCTGGTCCATCAGTTTCAGGGAGTCAGTTAATCAAGAATCGATTTCATTCATATAATGATTCGCATTTTAGTAAGCCATATAATTCTGAGGTTAAAAAATACCAAATCAATATTAATACTACTAACAATATGAACAGTAGGTTTGATAGTGGAACTCAAGCACATTTAAAATCAACGTATAAACTGATCTTAAAAGGTGTTAATCATTCAAAACCTACATTATACACTGAAAAATTTCACGACACAATGAATCATTTTATACCAATGTCAGTAATATTTGAGCCAGAAAAAGATTTGGCTTTATTATATCCAGAAAGTATTTGGCTTGATCCATGTAAAGCTAGTAAGTTTACTGATGATTTTTGAATTATTCACCATTGGTTATCGACTTGTAATTATTATTCAGTTAGAGAAAAGACATTCAACAAAATGAACTCTTTAATAATGTTCTAAGGATTATTTCTTTCACTTTTCAGTACAACACGGTTCATATGACAGATTAGTTTTTATTTTATTGATAAAAAAAATGCATATTGTTTAGGTGTAAAATTCGATTGAATACTTACAACAACTTCCGTTCGTCAGAGATTATATGTTATTTTGCTATGGTAAATTTATCTATAACAGTCATAGTAGGAACTTGGTTTAGTTGAATTAATCAATGAATTTATAAGCTTTCGCTATCACATATGGCCTAACATATATCTTCTTAAGTAGTCACATTTTCAATTCGCTGATTTTCATAAGTTTGTTTTCTGAAGTTTATTTTAAACTGATATTTAATGAAATAATCAAATATTGTAGATAAGGTGTGTAAAGCATTGAAACGATAGTCTAGAATAAGTTAAATTTTTTTTCAGTTCCCCAGTATGATTGTAAATTGCATTTCAATAATTTAAACAATGAATGACAACAGTCTTTCTAGATAGTGACTTCACAACTAAGATACGCATTTATCTTTGATAATCTGAAGACAGAAAGACAAAAAACTGATATCATTCTTGAATAACACCTTGGAATTCTAATCTCTCCGATTACTGCTTTTACCTTTACTACCTCTACTGTTATGGGATTTGAATTGACAGTTGCGTCTCCGTGCTAATATGGTATGGCAACATGAACTGATGTGTCTAAGTACGAAGTTCTACGTTGATTCTGACTGACCGACTGACTTACGCCGAACGGATTTGGAATTACTGAAGTTTCGTGATTACTATAATAACTTTGAGACTACCTTTTTCAATCATTTTGTAGAAATTTTAGGTTAATATCAATTTTTTTATTTCTTTTTCCAAATGTAGTCAAATCAAGGTAGAGGTTGGTGTTTTGTTTAATTCTACCTAGGCTGTATTATTATTATCTTACTGCAGTTAACTTAACAATTTGATGACTTTAGACTAAAACATCAAGGAGTTTGCTTTAAATTAATCACTAGTACGCAATAAATTTTCATTGACTGAGGTGGTGATTTGAGCTGTTTTTTTAACAATTTTTATTATAAGCTAGTCGAATGATCATAAAAATGATATATTATGTTCTAAAAAATGTTAGTTTTTGTTTCATTTTCTTTCGAAATCTCGGGTTAAAATGATTTGCAAACAGTTGAATGTTTTTAGTTTACACTAACCATTAGTATGTACCTAACCAGTTGACCTTGTAATCCATCCGGACTTTTCCTGTACGTTTGCTTTTAGTTTCTGATTTATGTGTTACAGAAGTAAATTATTCTTTACATGGGGAATGTTTTAAGTAACACTAAATGATCATTAAGCATGACCTTGTTTTTCATGACTTGTCATTTGTAAATTATATATATATATATTTACTGAAAGGATATACTTTTAATTGAATAATTTACAGGACACTGAAATACATCATACTTCGGTTACATCACAATTGTATGATTTTATTTTGCACTGTATAACAAGGACCCAATTGTATCCATTTTTATATTCATGCACTTAGAGAATTTGACCAAAAATACTTAAAAACTGGAATATTATCAAAAATTTTAAAAAAAATCATAGTTTAACTAGCTTCATATGAAAAAACTAAATATCAGACTAGTCTTATAACGGACGACAGTGATCGTCTAATGTTGATTTGTCACAGTCCTCAAATATGAAAGAACTACAGAAGGTTGGGGTGAGATATTTCACTAGGATTTTTTATCTTTGACACGCACACACGCACACACACACACAGGGACAGAATGGAGTAAACAAAACACTGTCGCGTATTTAAATTTCATATTTAATGGATTCTGGTCTTTTTTCCAAGTTTTTTCTTTCCTAGTCATCATAATTTTTACTAGTTACGATTTTACTACCTACTTTTTTCTTTATGTAGGTATTTTATTTGGAAATTTCCATTTACATGTGTAAAATACCTAGAGTTAGTTACCAATGGAAAAAAAGAGGATTTTATGTTTAGAGTGAGACTGGTTGCTTTTTGTTACGTAATTTACCGCGACATCAATATAGTGTGTTTTTTAAAAATCGATTTTGTGCACATATACCTTTGGCAAGTTTATAATTGAGTGTGATGGATAGCTTTTTGGTTGATTGCTAATGTGTTTTAACAAATTTAAACGTTTTTGCGATAATCATGAATAGGTCGGATTAATACTAATACACATCCAACCTGATGCATAACATCTTATTATTCGTTTCTAGTTACCTATGGAAAGTTGTTTTGATAGGCACTCAGTTCTATTTTTGTATACTACATTGCATAAATCATGGTCGAATTTCTATTCACCTATTCGTTTCTGCTGTGTTTCATCCATAGTATAATGAAAATTGATAGTCATTATTAAGAATATGTGTGATGTTTTCAAGATGATTAAATTCGTATGTTGTTTTTGTTATTTTGATGGTACGATATGGAATAGTCTGATAAATGGTTCTTTTTTTATTTTTCGATCTATATTCATGGTGTCTGTTCATTTTCATTTATCTCTAGTTATCAGTCTCAAATTATAAAAACGGTTAGATGCAAAAAGTGTCTACCAGTGTGAACATGTCAATATTTATAATTACCTTAAAAAATAAGTATAAGGTATAGTCTCCTTCTCTTTAGCATAAAAGCTGATTTATTAGTTATCAAGGAACTCATTTACTCTGTGCAAATTCATGTTATCGGCTTCCACCATTAAGGATAGTCTTGATATCTATTTAGCTGATAAAACTGAAGTGGTTGGTGAATAAATAAATCCTCTTCTACAGTCTTACTTTTCTTGCTTGCATAGATTCAATTATATCAGTCTTCTTTCGTTATAACAAATAGCAAGGAAAAGTTATTTTCCCTCACTCGTAAGAAAATACCCATGCTACAATATAAGTCATAGCAATCTTTAAACAAAAAATTAGTTTATCATTATTTGTCTTTTGAATGTACTACCTACCATGTTACAAACATCTTAGTTATTTCATGTAGAAGAAGACGGTACTGTTAATTTACACATAATCAAAAGGCATACTGATACACTCACTATCTTTGAACTATATTGTCAATACTAACACTAATAATCTTACAGCAAACATTTAAACAAAAACTGTTTTTTTTTGTATCCAGTTTTTCCTAAATTCAGTGCTTCGTGTACACAGAAATATTACCGATTTGCAAAAATAAACTAGTCAAGAAATGAATTTGTTTGCTTCATTATGCATGCAAATAGATATATATGTACATATATATATATATATATATATATATATATATATATATATATATATATATATATATATACACTAAAAAATCCATAACACTAAACTTGAAGATTATCCAGTTTGTTTGGGCCATATATAATTCACATGATGACAGATATTGAATACATATGTATATATACATTTATTCAATATCTGTCATCATGTGAATAATATATGGCCCAAATAACAACCTGTCTAGCTATATTTATCAACACTAAGTCTATGATCAAGATTTATCTATCTATCAGTTATTTAAACGACACTTTTCTGCTTCCTAAAGTGCTTCATATGGAAGGATTTTTTTCAGCCCAGTTCGAAGTAATTCATCGATTGTTTTTTGAATTGTACATTGGATGAAAGGTTATGTGAAATTATGTACGCTATGTATTGAATTAGTTATCTCACCTTTTCATAATACTACTGTTGAATCGGGTACTCGAACGAACAGTTGTTCGATGGGTCTTAGTTTAAAGTCGTTTATAAAAGAATTTCATTCTTATATTATTATCAGAATGGTTTAGGCCCATGCCATAGTGTTAATAATGTTTGTTCAATTTTGATCAATTATAATAATGTTATGAATAGCATACCCGTTGAACTAGTGAATAGCTATGTGATTTAGGTAGCTCAGTTGACTACATATTGCTGTTCGAGTTGAAAGACACTGTGCTGAAGCCTCGATGTGAATATTAACACTGAGTTGCAGGTCTATCCATCTGAGGAGTCCTAGTTAGGCCCATAATTCCAGTGCTAACCTTCCACCTGTTTCATATTATTTTTTCAATGAAAATAATCTCTAAATGTAGATACGTTAATACCGAATACCGATCAACGATCTGACACTTTATGAATGAACAAAATACCTATCCAAGCTTTTTTAAAAGCTATTTATAACACTAAAAGTGTTAGTACATAGAACTGTCTAGTTTCAAAATAAAACGAATCTTATCACTTTTGTTCTAAAAATACCCTCTAAGAATTCTTGTCAAAAACAATTTACACTGAACAACGGGTGAAAACTAACATGTAATCCAGAGCCAGAATTGATTTAGAATGCAAAATACTACTGAATTTATCAGATGTAGCTTGAAATATTGTATTGGCATGTGCACGTGAATTTTTTGACTTGGGTATTACACGACTTCACCGACGTTTGGGTTCCAGTGCTAATACGACAAAAATGAAGCAGCTGTTTGGTCTTGTCTTGTTGTTGTTTTCAGTTTTTCGACTTATTTCAGGCTAAGATAAAAATTACATTGAATAGTTTAATGATATCAAAGGTTAAAATACAGTTTGCATTGTCAGTTGTGTTTGTCAATTATCATCCTCAGTTTCTGAAAGACAATCCCAAATGTTGTTCAGATCATGAACCAATGTGAGCCAAATAGTCATTGAAAAGCTGAAGTCACTGAATAGCCGTTTCATCTCAGTGTGGAACTCCTCAGCTATGTTCACCTTCGAACCCAATAAGGATCAGACTCAGGACCTGGAGGTTTCGTATTGAGAGCTTAACTTTCTGACCACTGGACCTGCACCTTATGGATTACAGCTCTAATTTCGGTCAGTTAGTGATACAGAGCAAGCATCTTCCTATAACATTTAACAGTTTCCACAAATCCCAATAATGAAAAAT